AGGAAGAGCTGCCTGCTTTTGGACTCAGCCTGCAGAGTTGAAAGCTGTGGCCAGAGTAGGAGCTGCTGGGGGACTGGAGCTGAGAGCTGGCTCCATGCAGGGCTGTGATCCCAGAGCAGTGTCCCACCAGCATGGCACAGGGGCACCCTGCAGGCACAAACCTCCAGACCTCACTGGAGCCTCACCCAGCCCTGGTCCATGTCCTGCCCCTCAGCCTGTGGGGCAGAGCACTGGGGGGCTCAGCACCCAGAGCAGAGCCCTGTCCCCCACACCTCACACAGCAAAGGCAGCCAGCCAGACAACTGCATTTACTGTCTTAAAGTGAATTTAGTGCATCTGAAAGGTACAGGAAATAATTTAAACCATATACAATGTAAACTTCCCCTGCACACCCTCCTGTAGCCTAAACCAAGAGATCCTCCTCTACAGACTCACTGCCAGTTCTGCTAGGACAGACTTTGCCTGCTCTGTGAAAGGAACCAGACAGCAGAGTCTGGCCAGAGAGCCAAGTGTAAATGTATTTCCTACCTGTCCAAACCCAGTGAGAGGTGTTCACCTTCCAGCTCCTGGGCTACCCACCCTGACCCTGCTGTTTGTTCTGAACAAAGCACATGCAGTTTCAATTTCAAAATAAATTTTTAGACCGTCCTGCAAGTGGAAAAACTTCTAAAATAAAAAAATTAGTGGTTCCCTCCAGAAATTTCATGCTTACAAAACTACTGACTGAGCTTTTAGGGGAAACAATTCTGGGTTTTTAAATAATTTGAAGTTCAAAAATGGTGGAAATAAGGGACCTAGTCCAAAAGCAAGGCTATTGATTAATCCCAAACTACTGATTAATCAAATTTCCTACCTGAAGAGTTAGTAAAAAATAAATGACTTCACCAACTGAGAAGACAAGGTCATTTTCAGTATCTTGAAAAATTCAAGATAATCTCAGCTATGGATCCATGAAAATGTGTTTCACTGTCTGATCCTTTTCACCCTCCCACCCTTGGCAACAGCCACACTGAGGTCACCCACTGAGCCCCAGCAGACCCAGGAGCTGCAGGCAGCAGGAAGGGGGTGAGGGATAATCACTGTGTTAGAAACTACTGGTAACAAACCAACGAGCTGCTCTTCAGAGAAATCCCCAAAAAGTCAGTCTCACTAAAAGAAACCCCCCAAATATTTCCATGGTTTGGGGCTTCAGTTTTGTTCATTTGCTTTAGAACAAGGGGCACCTCTTGGTATATATTTTTCCTGTAATTTTCCAACTTCTGTTATTTGTCTTTAGCCATCAGTGTGATTATCAGGGCCTTCCATGGTGATCCTGACCACAGGATGGGTAAAAGGGTCTCCTTTGGTTTTGGCAACAGCCTCTGAAGTGAGAGTCCCCTGCAGGGCAAGGCAGTTCCCATTCCTCTGTCATGTAAAAGAAGTGAAAAGCAAACAATTTGACACAAAAATGGAAAGCATCTGTCTCTGGTTGGTTCAGCTTTTGCTGCTGGAGGAAGCTGCTAGTCTTCATCACCTTCCCAAAACTCATCATCAATCTGCATGTCTTGAAACAATCTGCAAGACAGCCAAGAATCTACATCAGGATATAAAAACAAGTAAAAGAGGTACAAAGAAAGCATCAATCTGTGACCAAACCCAAAAAGCTGCATGTTTCACTGGGTTTGTTCAGTATCCCCTCAGAGGGGATTAAATAAGCTCCTCTGCCCTTACACAGCACGTTACACCTGAAGGTTTTACAGCACCTTACACACACCACATCTCAAGAAATCCCTGCAAATATGAATAATCCAGAATGTATTGGAGGTTCCCCAGTGCTGCCCTTCAGGCTGTGGATAATCAGCAGCCTGCTCCCCACAGCTTACAGCTAACCAGGCAGCCCAGAGCTGGCAAACAACCCCAACCTTGTGTGGCACCACAGCATCTGCAAGGGAACCTTTCACTACAGGCTGTCTCTTGGTCAGAGAGCATCAGGAACAGGCTCAGAAGACTCCTCCAGAATTTTAAAACAGAAGTTCTTAAAAAGGAAAACCACGCCCTGAATCACCACTGAGTTTTTTTATTGCTAGTGTTGGGTCCTTATAAGTGTAAATATTTGAGAGAAGAAACCATGCCTCAAACTGTATAGCTACAAATTTCAAAGTAAGAAAAATCTGGGAGAGACCATAAGAAAAAAAGTAGAAAAATCAGTGGTATGGAACAAGGAGAAATAAAATACCAGCTCCTACCTGTTAAAGCACGGTGAAGATGGGTCATCAAAGTGCCTGTAGGGGTTCCCCCTGGACAGGGAGCCCATGCAAATCCAGCAGAAATACTGCATGCAGCCAGTACATGTCATTTTGTTGCAGCCATCTAGTTTCTGAGGGGAAGGAAACAAGAAACAGCAATAACAACATCTCCCCGTGTCCCTCTTCAAACCGAGGGACCAGTCCTCAAAAAGCCATCAGCCAAGAGACACATTTTACCTATCACAAGACTGATAATTTTTCACTGTTCAAAAGAACAAGGAGCTAGAATCACAGAATTATAAACTGGCTAGAATGCTGGAAATTGGTGTTTTTCTGAAGCTAGTTTATTTCCTGGCTCTAGGCTGAAACAGCAGCAGCCTGAAGCACACGGACAACACAGGGATCCACACGGATCCAGAGTCAAACTGGGTCTTTTCAGTGCTGGAGTCTGAACACCACCAGCTGCTGGATTTCCTCCAGCCCCTGAGCCCCAGAAATGTCACCCCTTTTCCACAGAACAGACAGAAGTGGGATGTTCTCCTACCACTTCCCAGAAATTTACCTCCCTGGTGAACTCAGAGGCTGTAACCAGAGCTGTGCTCCAGCCTGAACACAGAACTGATCCCTTGACGTTAGCTTCTGTTAGGAGTGACTGTGATTCTTCAGCCTCTCCCCTCCCTGCTCACCTCTATGTGAGTCCCACAGCAAGGACAAGACTTGGAGTTCTTCTCCAGCCACTCTTTGCTCTCCATCTCCTCGAGGGCTTTCTGAATCACTCGTTTGCCGTAGCGTTGCTCCAAAAATCTTTTAGTTGCCTCATCTGCTTCTAAATACTCATTTCGCAAATCCATTAGTTTCTCTGGGGAATAAAACAAAATAAAAGCCAAATCAAACCAGCTTTTGCAATATATTGCATAAAGAAGTCCAGCTAAAAACAGGATAAATTCTTTTCAAAGGAAACTCAACATTTTTAATTCAAAAGCAGAACATTAGAACACAAAATGGAGAGAGGTTTAAATGTTCTCTTCATCAAAATTCAACACTGTTTGATTATAGAAGAGACTAGCTGATGGAATTAGAACAAATCTACAATGTAAAATGAACTGAAAAAGAGACATTTTTTTCTGTAGACACAGGTCATGAAACTTTGTCACAGGATTTTGAAGCCAGCCAGACAGAGAAGCATCCACCTGGTCCCAGTATCCGACAACAGCGGATTCAAGGGAAAGGGTAGAAAAAGGCACATAAAAAAAATTATCCTTTGCTAGGGCCTCTCAGAATTCAGCAATCAGCATTTTGGGCACCTCCAGAGCTACAGAGTGCCATCAAAGGAACACTTCAGCTGCCAGCAACAGACCTACTCCAAACCAATCTGTCTAATCTGAGCCATCCCACGTGGTGAGGAGCTCCCTCGCTTCACTTCTGGGCTCGCTGGCTCCCCGACCCGTCTCGAGGCATGAGGACTCACCAGCAGTGACCTTGCAGGGGGAGACCCCGTGGTAGGTCATCCTGCAGAGGGTGCAGAAGGCGTAGTTGCAGCAGGAGCAAAGGGCCATGGTGCAGCCCGGCTCCTGCATCACGGGCGTCTGGCAGCGGGGCCGCGGGCAGTACACCACGTCTGCCATCAGGTCCAGGCTGGACTGCAGCAGCAGCCGGTCGTAGCGAGCGAAGAGCTGCTCCCCAACCAGCTCTTTGACCTGGCAAAGAGCACAGGAAGGTGAGTGGCTGCACTCCGTGGTCTCCAAGGTCTCTTCCAACCAAAACGGTGCTACACGCAGCGGATATTCCGAGCCTGCTGGCTTCAGCTAAGTCAGTGAGAAAGTGCCTACAGCTGGGATGAATCCAGCAGCTAGGTGTGGATTCACAGCACTTATGTCATGAAAACACTCCTACAAATGCTATTGTAACAATAATTAATCACATGAAAAGCACACAGAGTCAAACACCATGGGATATTAATTCAGGCCTCTGACCAACGCCAGTGCTAACACCTCGTGCAAAATACACTCCAAATGATCCAGTTTTAAGTCTGACCCCTCTGCACGGCTCAGAGCAGGAAGAAAAACATTCCCTCAGGTATCCTGGCAGCGCTCACCACGAAAAGCCACACCTTGCCTTCTGCCACTGCTGGTAAACCAGCAGAACTCTACCCCCACTGCTCACACACGCCCATTACCTGGCCGGGGGTGGCAACAGAGGAACACTTGGGCTCTGGGCAGTTGAGGCATCGGACCTGCCCGTCCCTGATCTGGATCTCAAAGTAGTCCTTCAGGCAGGCTCTGCAGTACACGTGGCTGCACTCGGAGAAGTACATACACTCACTGCCCAGCTTCTCGCAGAAGCAGATATTGCACAAGTACAGCTTACTGTTAAAGCACTTCCTCCTCTGAGCCTGGTCAAAGTCCAAGATTTCCCTGATCAGACTCGACAAGGATTCCACGTCCTGCACGGCTCTGGCATCGACGAGCTCCTCCTCAGCTGCAGCAGAGCCTGCTGCACCACCAGCAGCCTTCTCGGCGTCGGGGGCCGCAGTCCTGCTCTGCCCGCACATTTTTAGCTCATATGGGGAGGAAATATTCAGGTAACTCAGGGTTTCTTCCTTCAGAAACTGCATCCAGGCGAATAAGACCACACAGCCTCGATTCTCTTCCCACACGTTGTCCAGGTGTTTGCAAAGAGCACTGAGCTAGAAAGGAGAAGGTGATTCCAGATGTCAATAAGTTCTGACAACGCGCTGCTGCTCTCCTCTCCCACAGTCCCCCTGAGCACATACTTGGAGTTCAAACTGTGGAGTTTTTATATATGCACACATAAAATACATATAAAAATAACACTCCTGGATGCAAGCCTTCTTTCCTCAGAACAGTGGCCAAATCAAAACGAGCAGGAAACAAAAAAAGAGTCAACAGAGAGCAACATCATCATTTATGCCTTAATTTTCCTTTCATCTGCTACACGAACATCCCCCACAGCACTGTTACAGCAAGTCATGATGACAAAAGCTCTGTTAAAACACTAAAGCTGCAGTGCAGACCTGGGCTGGGGAGAGCCATTTCCCACTGAGGGTGAACGCTGGTGGGGAGGTGGAGGGGTAGTCTGGTGGGAGTTCAAAATTCAGCACGAGGGGAGGCAGAAAGCACACGGTGTACTCAAAGTGCCTGTCCTGGAGGCTCTCCGTGGAACTGCCTGAATCAGAGAGAACCAAGACAGCGTGAGCAAGACCAAGAAAGTGGAAGCTAATGAAATGTAACTGTTTATGACAGATATCCCTTTTCATCTGATACATGTCTGGGTTTAAAATTATTTATTCAGTCCTAAATAACACCCCTCAGTGCAGTAAAATTTCATGGCGTTGTGTGTATAGGGTTAAACTGGTAAACACAAGTCCTGTGAAATACCTGATCCTGCACAAACCAAGAGCCTGGAAAGACATATCCTCAAAGAAAATAATAGATCAACTTAATTGTTAAAAAACAAACAAACAAACAATTACTTAGCTCTAATTTTGAAGTTCACTGAAGAGGTTCTATCCACAAGGATGAAACTAGGACTAACTATGTAGGAAACTATGAGGCTGGACTAGATGACCTTTAGAGGTCCCTTCCACCCCAAATTCTTGACAACCCTTTCACCCAAAATAGACTTGTGATTCTAAGTCCCCTACTCAGCTATAAACCCAACAACCCCACAAGCACAGAGACTTTCCCACAGGGGCCTTCTCCACTCAGTGTTCCTGCAGGCCACGAGAGCAGCGACCGTCTGAGCGCGTACCACGAGAGGAGCTCGGTAAAACCAAATTCTGGGACAACACAAAACATCTCAACTCACCACTCACAAAAACTTTGAAGTTTTGGGGCAACTCCAGGCAAATTCTTGTTTCTCCTCCTTGGGCAGACTCGGCTCTCTTAAACTCCTCCTCGTCATAAATGCTGGCCAAAGCCAGCAGCTCATCCTCCTGAGCTTCTTTGTCCTCTGAAGACATTTAAGTGTTCTGTGGAGTTAACAGCACTCTACAAGATCAACTGAGTTAACACATCCTGTTCAAATTGTTAGTGTGAGGTATTAAACGTAGTGGACTGTAAGATTTTGAAACCAAAGTAACTGATATAAAAGAATGTAAAATACAATTAAACTTTTTTATATAGGTTGAAAGAAAATTACTGATAGGTTTATAAAATAAAAGAAAAACAAACCACTGAAAAGTCAAAAAGCCAACTGCCTGTGTTAGTGGCTAAAAACAGGTTAGGAAGGGAAAATAGTGACATACACTAATGGCAAAAGTGACTTAGGGACATTTCATTCATGTATGGAAAGGAAAATAGACCAAAAACCAAGAAAAAAGCATTAGTAACAGTATTTCTAGCCCACTGTTCAAAAACAAACTGCCTGCCTCATTCCTGATCAAAGGGATTGATAACATTAATAAGAAGCTTCAAATCCCACATGGGCCCCACACAGACACCCCCTGACACCCTTTCAGCTCTAGGCTGGGGGGCACGAAGCCCCGTTTGCTGGGTTACCCTATTCACAGCCGCGCGGGGCGAAGCGGCAGGTCCTGGGTGCCGGCCAAGGGCGCGTCTGCAGGGCCAGAGCAGAGCCCCTGACCATCGCCCGGGCAGAGCCGGACACCATCAACTCCTCCTCCTGTAAGGCACGCAGAAAGCGCCTTGGACTCGCGGCCCAAGCGCAGGGCACGGGGCGGGCACCCCCGAGCTGCCCCTGGCCAAGC